GTTGGGGTCGAACTGTTTGCATCTGACCCTAAATCTCTCTGAGAAAGAGAAAATCAGAGCACAAAAATTTTGAAAGGCATGATTTGAACCACAAGAGAACAAAATTTCTGAATGGTATGTGCCTAATATTAGAGCCCAAAGTGAAAAAGGGTACATTGATCAATACGTGACTGCATTAACACAGCTCACAGAATCCTGTGAATGTGTGCTACTAAAAGATAATGTCATTAATGATCTCATTAGGCATGAGAGATCCCATTGTGAGAACATGTCTGCTGAGAGAGGAGAAACTTACTCTCAGGAAAGCAATTGATGTGCTGAATTGAGGCTGAAAATCAGCAGATAGAGAAATTCATCGCTGAGCAGACCAAGCCTTGCACTGAGCTGGTAGATACTCCAGGCCAAAAGGGTAGAAAGATCACAGAGAAAGGGCAGGGTTCAAATACTGCATCCTATAATGGAAAAGAAGGCATGTCAGGCATGGAGAATGCAGTGCCCTCTCTACTAAAAATTGAATCGCTTTGTGTATAAGTGCTTGGCTGGGAGCAAATACAGCAAGCAGTGAAAAGGATGAGCTGGAAGTTCTACTAAATCACTCTGGTGATAGATAGATCATACAATCAGGTTGATAGTTGATAATTGGTTTATGATTGTTAACTGCAGAATGAGAACATCAAGTTAATATAAAGTGTAAGATAAAGACAGATAAATATTGGTGAGTCTTGCAACACCATGGCCTTCACAGAGCCGTGTGAAGTGGCTCAACACAGCAAAATAAAAGTCTTACCAAGGACTACTCTATCTCTCATTGGAGAGAGGCAAATGGTGATGGTTTAACCTGAGGTTCTCTCTTAGAGAAAGTCTACAACTTGGACTGGTAATTCCCAATGTGCTAAAGGAGATTTGCAACTGATGAAACTGATGATGATATCATTCTGGGGACCTGGGTTCAAATTCTGCCATGGCAGATGGTGGAATTTGAATTTAATAAATATCTGGAATTAGGAATCTAATGATGACCATGAATCCATTGTCAATTGTCATAAAAACCTATCTGGTTCACTAATGTCCCTTAGGGAAGGAAACTGCCATCCTTACCTGGTCTGGCCTACATGTGACTCCAGACCCATAGTAATGTGGTTGACTGTGAACTGCCCTTTGGACAATTAGGGATGGGCAATAAATGCTGCCTAGCCAGTGATGCCCTCATCCCGTGAATGAATAAAACAAAACTCCCAGGACAGGACAGCACAGGGTTATATAAAGAGTACAACCTTCAGTCGCCTGAGCTCTTCGCTGTGGAATTCCCTCCCTGAGCCTCTCTGCACACCCCCAACACCCAGTCTCTCATTCTTCCTTTCGAATGCACTTTAAGCTTACCTCTCTGATGAAGTTTTGGTCCGTGTGCTCTCAGATATATTCATATACAGCCCTGGCATCAACTTAGTTTCGGTAATGTTCCAGTTGAAGTGCCCAGGGACGTGGTAGCTGCTTTATAAATGCAAGGCAGCATTGTTGCTTTCATGGCTAATCCCTGACGTTGGTGGTGGTGATCAGCAACAGGTTTCACATCAAATTAAAATTGACTGTCTTACAACCAGTCACTGATATGAGCATCAAACTATCATGCACTGTCATAAAATTTGTTCCTATTATGCAGTAAAGCTCAGTACCTCTTTACAAAGTATCAGAGCATGCTGCAATGTTCAAATGTAAGACATGTAAGAAATAGGAGTGGGCAATTCAGTCCATTGAGCCTGCTCTGCTTCACATGACCATGGAGATCTTTGGTTTCAGTGTCATCTACCCACTCTCTACATCCCAAAGATCTCTCAGCATTGACCCTGTTAAACTCCTTCAGAATCTTGTAGCTCTCAGTGAGAACACCTCCTGTTCTTCTCAACCCCCAAACGGGCTGCATGGTGGCTTAGTGGTTAGCACTGCTGCTTCACAGCACCAGGGATCTGGGTTCAATCCCACCCTCAGGTGACTGTCTGTGTGGAGTTTGCATGTTCTTCCTGTGTCTGCATGGTTTCCTCCCACAGTCCAAAGATGTGCAGGTTAGGGTGGAATAGCCATGCTAAATTGCCTATAGTGTGCAGGCTAGGTGATAGTTGGATCCTGGAAATCAATGTGATCATTTGATTGGATGCTGGGCATCTGTGTAATGATTTGATTGGGCACTAGGTATCTGGTGTTTATAGATTCATAGAATCCTTACAGTGTGGAAAGAGGCCCTTCAGCCCAACAAGTCCACACTGACGCTCAGAGCATCCCACCCAGACCCATCCCCCTATAACACACCTAAACTACACATCCCTGAACACTATGGGCAATTTAGCATGGCCAATCCACCTAGCTTGCACATCTTTGGACTGTGGGAGGAAACTAGAGCACCCACATTCACTGGTGGGACGTGGGTATTGCTGGCAGGCCCAATAATTATTGCCTGTCACTAGTTGCCCTTGAGAAGGTGGTGGTGAGCTGCCTTCTTGAACCGCTGCTGGCCACATGCTGTAGGTTGACCCACAATGCCATTAGGGAGAGAATCCCAGAATTTTGACCCCGTGACACTAAAGGAACAGCAATATATTTCCAAGTCAGGATAGGGAGCGGCTCGGAGGGGGCCTTGCAGGGGTTGGTGTTCCCATGTATCTGCTGCTCTTGTCCTTCCAGATGGAAGTGGTCATGAGTTTGGAAGGTGCTGTCTGAGGATCTTTGGTGACTTTCTGCAGTGCGTCTTGTACATGGTACACTGCTGCTACTGAGCGTCGGTGGTGGAGGGAGTAGATGTTTGTGGATGTGGTGCCAATCAAGCGGGCTACTTTGTCCCTGGATTGTGTCAAGTTTCTTGAGTGTTGGAGCTGCATCCATCCAGGCAGGTGGAGAATATTCCATCACACTCCTGACTTGTGCCTTGTCGATATTGGATAGACTTTGGGGAGTCAGGAGTTGAATTACTTGCTGCAGTATTCCTAGCCTCTGACTTGCTCTTGTAGCCATAGTACTTATGTGACCTGGAAAATTCTCCACATTGTCAGGTAGATGCCAGTGTTGTAACTATACTGGAAGAGCATGGCTAAGGGAGTGGCAAGTTCTGGAGCACAAGTCTTCAGTACTATTGCTGGAATGTTGTCAGACCCTATACACTTTGCAGTACCTAGAGTATCTGATGTGTCGTGAATTGAATTGGTTGAAGACTGGTATCTATAATGTTGGGGACCACTGGAGGAGGCCGAGATGGCCTCGACACTCCTGGCTGAAGATTGCTTTGAATACTTCAGCCTTATCTTTTGCATTGATGTGCTGGGCTCTTCCATCATTGAGGATGAGGATATTTGTGGAGCCTCCTCCTCCAGTAAGTTGTTTAATTGTCCGCCGTTATTCACGACCGAATATGGCAGGGCTGCAGAGCTTAGATCTGATCTGTTTGTTGTAGGATTTCTTAGATCTGTCTATCAATTGCTGTTTATGCTGTTTGGCAAGTAGTCCTGATTGTTGGCTTCACCAGGTTGACACCTCATCTTCAGGTATGCCTGGTGCTGCTCCTGGCATGCCCTCCTGCACTCTCCATTGAACCCGGGTTGATCCCCTGGCCTGATGGTAATGGTTGAGTGGGGGATATGCTGGGCCATGAGGTTACAGATTGTGCTGGAGTACAATTCTGCTGCTGTTGATGGCCCACAGTGTCTTGTGCATGCTCAGTCTTGAGTTGTTAGATCTGTGCGAAGTCTGTCCCATTTAGCACGGTGATAGTGCCACACAACACGATGGAGGTTGTTCTCAATGTGAAGGCAGGACTTTGTCTCCACAAGGACTGTGCAGTAGTCAATCTTAACTGATACTGTCATGGACAGATGCATCTGCAACCGGCAGATTGGTAAGGATGTGGTCTAGTATGTTTTTCCCTCATTGGTTCCCTCACCAACTGCTGCAGATCCAGTTTAGCAGCTATATCTTTTAGGACCCGAACAGCTCGATCAGTAGTACTTCTGCTGAACCACTCTTGGTGGTGGACATTGAAATCCCCCAGCCAGAGTACATTCTGTGCCCTTGTCATCCTCAGTGCTTCCTCTAAGTGTTGCTCAATATTGAGGAATACTGATTCAACAGCTGAGGGAGGACGGTATGTGGTAAGCAGCTGGAGGTTTCCTTGCCCATGTTTAACCTGAAGCTATGAGACTTCATGGGGTTCAGAGACATTGTTAAGGACTCCCAGGGCAATTCCTTCCTGAAGGTGTACCACTATGTTGCCACCTCTGCTGGGTCTGTCCTACCGGTGAGACAGGACATGTCCAGGGATGGTGATGGTGGTGTCTGGGACATTGTCTGTAAGGTATGATTCTGTGAGTATGACTATGTCAGACTGTTGTTTGACTAGTCTGTGAGACAGCTCTCCCAATTTTGGCCCTAACCCCCAGATGTTAGTGAGGAAGACTTTGCAGGGTTGACAGGGCGTTAGCTGTTTTGGTGCCGAGGTCAATGCCAGGTGGTCTGTCGGCTTCAGTACTTTATTGAAAGTTTGTAGTGGTTGATACGAATGAGTAACTTTGCTAGGCCATTTTAGAGAGCGGTTAATTGTCAACTGTATGGTCTGGAGTCACGTGTAGGCCAGACCTGCTGAGCATGGTACATTTCCTTCCTTAAAGGACATTAGTGAAGCAGATGGACTTTTTCTGACAATCAATTTGTAATTCCAAATATTTTTTATTGAATTCAAATTCCACCATTTCCCATGGCAGGATTCGAACTTGTGTCCCCAGAAAATTAGATGATCTTCTGGATTAATAGTCTAGCGATAATACCGATAACAATAATTGATTGGTCACTGGGTATCTGTGTGATGGTTTGAGTGGATGCTGGATATTGATGTGGTGAATTGATTATTTCGCTGACTGTTAGAAAGCCCCCTTGGGATTGGCTTGTTGTTTCCATATTCTATTGCAATGTCACAAATTGACCACCGGATTCTCATTCTGACCTCTGTCTCCTGTCCTTAGATTATATCCGTGCTTCCCAGGCCTTGATGATCATATCTATCTTGATGGGATTTTTTGCTGGAATCACCAGTTTGTTTGGACTGAAGTGCACACTATTGGGTAACACGGAACCCACCGTGAAGGCAAAAGTTGCAACTGCTGGAGGGGTCCTGTTTATAATCGCTGGTGAGTGGGTGGGGAGCTGAGCCCCAGTGCACCGTATAAGGGGTGAGTGGGAAGGTCAGTGAGTGTGTGTGTGTGTAGTGGGGGAGATGACTGTGAGTCCAAGGGGTGTAAAATGGGAATTGTGGCTGTGGGGGTGGATGTGATATAGGCAGAGTGGGATTTCAGAGGGTGTGAATTAGTGGTGTGTGAGTTGGGTGTATAATTTGAGGGACTGTGCTTTGGGGGTATGTATTGGGGGGGGTTGAATTGCGGGGTTGTGAATTCAGAGACTATGAGCTGGGGAGGTATGAATTGAGTGGCTAAGGTTTGAGGGGGTGTGAGTGTGTGTGTTAGGAGGGTTTGAGTTGGGGGAGGGTGGGGGTTGGGAGGATTTGAGTTGGGGGTGGTATGAGTTGGGGGAGGGTGTGAGTTGAAGAGGGTTTGAGTTAGGGAGGGTGTAAATTGAGGGGATGTAAATTGGGAGGGTGACTTGGGAGCATGAGTTGGGAGGGGATTTGAGTTGAGGGGTTGAGTTAGGAGGTTGTGAGTTGGGGTTTGAATTGAAGGAGTTTGTGTTGAAGGGGTTTGCATTGGTACGGTGTGAGTTGGGGAGGTGTGAGTTGGGGAGGGTGTGAGTTGGGGAGGGTGTGAGTTGAGTGAGGTGTGAGTTGGGGAGGGTGTGAGTTGGGGCAGGTGTGAGTTGGAGTGGATGTGAATTGGGGATGGTGTGAGTGGGGGGGAAGCATGAGTGGGGGGAGGTGTGAGTTGGGGGAGGAAATTGGATCTGATTTAGGAGGATGTGAGTTGGGGGAGTGTGAAATGAGGGTGTAGGTCCCTGGGGTGAGTTTGCAAGGTCGATGATTGGGTAGTGTGTACTCTACTCGTTCTGCTTTCCTCAGCATTTTCTGTTTCTCAGTAGCGTGTTTGAGGATTGACGATAATGCATTTGACATTGGTGTGTTTGGTGTTGGAGAGTTTGATGATGGTATTTTTCTTCCACAGCCCTGTGCGCAATGGTCCCTGTTTCCTGGTATGCCTACAATGTCACTATACAGTTTTATGACCCAATCTACCCTGGCACCAAGTAAGTGACTGCCTTGTGATGAGTCAGCATTCTTCAGGCAGTTGACAGATTGGGTTATTGTCTGACAGTCAAACCTTCTCACGGCAACTAGCCCAAATTGTAAGGGGAGAAAGAAACCGTCTTTGAAGAATGGGTGGGCGACTGTTTGGGGGAACACCCTCTCAGTGCAGTAATCCCTCAGTGCTGTGCCTCTGAGTGGGTAACTCCGTCTCTACTGGGTGTCTCAGCAATGGGTTCAAGTGTGCCCCCACCACAGAGACTGCGAATCGACGAACATTTTGAGTGTCTGGAACTGAGATTTGAACCCTGGGAGTGGGAGTTTGGGGTTGGGCAGAGTCAGTATGACTCAGATGACCGAGTGGTTTTGGTTAATAGATAATCTGCATTCAGGCCCCCACCTCCTCCTAAATCATCAGTCTGCCTGGATCAGGAGTGGAGGTAATGACCACTCACAGGCCCATACATAGTGAGTCAGACAGGAGGGATAGGGTGGGGGTACCTTTGGCAAAGGTTTGGGAGTGAAGAGGTTTAGGGAAATCCAACAGATGCTCTGGGGTGTGCCGATTACCAATGTTGTCCCTCCCTATCTGATTCGAGGTATGAGCTCGGACCGGGTCTCTACATCGGCTGGGCCGGAGCATCTCTGGAGCTGATCGGTGGGATCTGCCTGTGCTTCTCATGTCAAACAGCTAAGGAGGTCAGAGGGTAAGTATCACAAGCGTCCCATCATGGGAGGGCATTAATGCTGCGACGGTGGGCCCTCTGCCACTCAGGTGACCCTGCACCTATCACGTGAATTACCCTATCCCCAGGTAACTGACCTCTCCGGCCTGGGATTGGCACTACCTCCCCCCTCCCTCTCTAGGGGGTGCACTACCCTTCGTTCATTGATCACCACTCACTGGCATTGCCTGAGTATTGACTCCCCGGGCACTGAGCCCCCTTTGCCAGGCACCAGACATCTTGCCCCTTGGACGCACTGACTCTCTGCCCCCCACCCCAACCCCAACCCCAACCCCAACAGCCCCCCATTTGGGCATGGAACGGTCTATGAATATTGAACAATAGGCATTGGATGCTATTTGGTAGAGGAAAAAAAAAGTCTACATCCTTCCATTTGGAAGTTGGGAACACTACCCCCTTTCACCCCTTTCTCATCATCGCTCCTCCGTACCCACTGGTCCCTTCTTGGCTCCACCCTGCTTCCCCACTTGCCCGGACAAGTGCCAGGAACAGTGGCACTCTCTGAGACCTCGCGTTGACAGGTGGCATGGTGGCATCGTTGTCATGTTTATTTTTCTTACAGTAGCTACACGTACACGTACAGGACAGGTAGATCCACACCAGGAGAAGCAGCCAAGAAATGGATCTCGGAGCCGGATAACGCCAGCAACTACGGGAAGAACGCTTATGTTTGAGGGCGTTCTTACCTTCAGCACCTTGACTCATCTGGTAAATGGGCACGGTCTACTGCGTTTCAGGCCAGTCCCTTTACTCTGTGGGGGATCACTGTGTCCTTTTCTCCCCTCGTACATGTGCATCCACTTCCACACCCCGCAAGTCAGGACTCGGTTAATTCTCTATCTCTCGCTTCTATTTGCTGAAAATCTGATCATTGTCGATGATGAAACCGGACCTTCTGTGCAACTGGTCGATATGGCATGAACCACGATCCGGTGCCTCTCTCTCTCCCGAAAGCTTCGCTGCGACTTGGGGCGGGATCTGGGGAGCACGAGGAGGAATCTTTACTGAACCTGAAAGAGACCGTTTAATCGATCGTGTCTGTGCCACTGCTCAGAGCAAATCTACACAGTGTCCTATCTTCTCCCCCGCGCGTTGTTCCTTTGCGATCTGAATGTTTCCATTTGGACTGCCGTCTCAGGCAGCATGTGGGAACAGGAGTAGGCCATTCCGCCCCTTGGGGCTGTCCCACCGACCATGGCCGATCAAGCATTTTTACCCACCGCATCCCCAAAATCCTCTTCGTAGAAGTCTATCAATCCCTACTTTAAATATAATCAAAGGCTACGCTTCTGCTGCCCTCTGTGATATTGCAAAGATTCACAACTCTCCGAGTAAAAGATTTCTCTCAACTCAGTCCTAAATAGCACTCCTGTTCATTTTTAAATGGTTCTAGACTCTCCAATCAGGGAGAACACCTCATCTGCGTCCACCTTTTCTATCTCTTGAAGTGTTTTGTAGCTTTCAATGAGATGGCTTGTCATTTTGCAAAAGCCAGCTTGTCCAATCTCTCTTCACAGGACAGTCCTGTGAAGGAGGCTCGTCAATCTTCGCTGCACTCCATCTACCTTTCTTAACATAAGGAGATCAAAACTATACACGATACTTCAGGTGCAATCTAACTAATCTCAGACTTCATGCTCCTAGAATCTAACACACTTACATTGTGTGGACATTACAATCGAAAACCACAATGGAACAGTAAAATGGTATGTCTGTCCAGTTGGGGCTGGTAAAACTGAAAACTATTGAAAGTCCTTATGCTTGCAAAGATGCTAATGGTCCACATTATGAATTTGACTGGAGGCACCTCAACCTAATTGCAACGTTGCTAATAGTCCCATCAGTTTCCTAAGGTGAACAAGGGATCCTTGGCCAAGAGGGTACAAACTTATTAACAAGTTGAAACCGACTCCTTAATGAGTCTATCATGTGACAAAACTATACAACTGAAGCAAGGTTTCACCTGTACTCTTGCACTCAAATCCTCTTGCAATAAAGGCTAACATTCCATCGGCCTTCCCAATAGATTTCTAAACTTGCATATTAGCCTTCAGTGATTTATCAACAAGGATACCCATGTCTCTTTGTATATCTCCATTTTCCATCCTCTCACATAATTCCACATTCTCATCCCCCTCCCAATCGTCTTTCATTCGCCATGCCCAACATAAATCTACCTCTGCCTTAAAAATACCCAATGACCCTTAACATCCACTGATGTATGAGGCACTTCCAAAATCTTGAAGAGAAAGAAGTTCCCTGCATCTCTGTCCTAACAAGCAACCCCACGCTTAAGTTTTAAATAATGGCTCCTAGTGCTGGACTCACCCCGGAGAGGAAACATCCTTATTGCCTTGTCATCTTCCCACTTTGGGCAGCACAGTAGCTAAATGATTAGCACTGTTGCCTCACCCATTAGGGACCCAGGTTCAATTCTACCCTTGGGTGCCTGTCTGTGTGAAGTTTGAATGTTTTGTGTGGGTCTCCTCTGGTTTCCTCCCAGAGTCCAAAGATGTACAGGTTAGGGTGGATTCACCATGCTAAATTGCCCATAGTGTCCAGGGATGTGCAGGTTAAGTGGATTAGCCATAGCATACCCAGAGTTACAAGGATGGATGGGAAGCTCTTTGGAGGATGGGTGAGGACTTGATGGGCTGAATGGCCTGCTTCCACACTATAGGCATTCTATGATGAGGACATTATACACGTCACAAATCACCCCATGATATGCAAGGCATGAGTTAATTCATTCCTGACCTTTGGTTTCCATGGTGAAGGATGTCTAGCATTTCTCTGTCAGTTTTCTTCCTGTCCCCTTCAGATAGATTCAACTCCCTCCCACATTCGCTTTCACAAGCACCAACTTTGCCGGAAGACCTCTTCAAAGTGGCTACTCATCCAGAACACTTAGCCTCTGAACCAGCTGTATAACCGTAAGACAGTCAGACTTAAAGAACTCTTAGGCAATATCTGACAATAAGCTCATTCCATTTACTTTCACTGACATCACATCAGTAAGGCCTGATATGAATCATAAATTGTTTAATTTTAAAATGGACCTTGCTGAACTAAAACATAGCCGCCAACTGCATGGTACAAATTGACCATAATTTCTTGGCAGTTTCAGTCAGCAATTACCATCTCAGATTTCATGCCTCCAGAATTTAACACACTGGTATTGCATGGACATTACAAGTGATGACCATGATAGAACATTAAAATGGTATGTCTCTCCAGCAGTAACTGGTAACAATGAAAGCTATTGAAAAGCCTTACGCCTGCAAAGGTGCTAATGGCCCATAATCCGTGACTGGGGACACCTCAGTATAATTGCAGTGGTGCTCATAGCCCCATTAATTTCCTAAAGTGAACAATGTATTGATAAGCTGAAACTGACTCCTATCCCATGACTGAAAATCCCCTGGTCTTTATAAACTTTAGTTGTACGTTACTGAAGCCTTGCCTCAATCTGCTAAGTATCTTCCCTGCTGGTAACATTCAGCTTGTGTCAAGTGAGTTGAGTCTGCAAGACAAGCAGCAAAATAGCCAGGATCCATTCTAACACCTAAGCCTGCCTTGAGAAAACTGCCTCAGAACCTAATTCAGAAAGAAACCTTGTTTTTGACTGAAGAGTGGACCAAGCAACCTCATACAGCCGTGCCTTTGTGGATTTGTTAATGAACTCATCAACTCCTGCCTTGGCTAACTGATCCCTGCTGAATCTGAGTTCCTCCAGGAAAGAATCCTTACTGGACACTAACTTTCTGTGCTGTGACAGTCATGTGCATTAATGTTCAATCTTTGGTCATTCCTAATTAGCAAATCTTCCTTTTCTTATTTTCTACCTTGTGATGCATGTGCGAGTTATATCAATCACTCCCCAAGCTTAATAAATCATGTTTCTGATTCAACCCCAAAGAGTGTTTGTGGTGGGTGAGTTTAAAAATTGGAATTAGTAAACAAAAGAAACACACGGTTGTCTTTTTTTAAAACAACTCCATATGTGGACAGAAAGTAGATTAGATCCAACAGTGGTCAAAAGGAACAGGAAGTGTCCAGAGCAGCATCCAGTGCTGCAGGAGATAGGTGAAGATGGATAAGTGCGTGAAGTAAATTCTATCCTTCAGCAAGACCCCTGCGCCACGTTAAAATGCGCTTCTTTCTGTCAGCCATCTTGATGCACACCTTCAACATAAGTGGTTTTGGGGGGGGCGGTCGCTGGTAGGAAGGGGAGGGGAAGGGGGAGGAAGTCAGATATGCCATGAGTGAAAATGTTACATCTGTGCTCCCTAAGCTTTTCCTGCTGTGATGCCGTTCTGAAATGACAGCTTGAAACTGTTGAGACCTCAGCGAGAGCGCAGGGGTCCATGACTTTCACCCCAAAACATGAAGTACAATTTGAGCAGGCGCATCCTATCAGTGCAGTGGCTGCTCAGTTGGCTGGAATGCTGGTTTACAATGCAAGAGTAATACCAACAGCATGGGTTCAATTCCCACACTGCTGATGATACCTGGAAGGTCCTACCTTCATGGCCTCCTCCTTCACCTGAGGTGTGCTGACCCTCAGGTTAAACCACCAGCAGTAGTCATCTCTTTCTAATGAAAGGTGGCACAACTCTGGTGTCTTTACCTTCTTTTCTGGGGAGGCAGTGGCCTAGTGGTATTCTTGCTGGACTGTTAATCCGGGGACTCCAGTTCGAATCCTGATGTGGCTGATGGTAGAATTTGAATTAAATAAACAAAAACAATCTGGAATTACGAGTCCACTGCTGACTATGAGCCTGTAGTCAACAGTTTGAAAGACCCATCGGGTTCACTAATATCCTTTAGGGAAGGAAACTGCCATCCTTACCTGGTCTGGCCTACATGTGACTCCAGACCCACAGCAATGTGGTTGACTCTTAACTGCCCTCTGGGCAATTAGGGATGGGCGATAAATGCTGGCCTAGCCAGGGACGCCCTCATCATAAAAAAAATTTGGCACGACACCTCTTTCTGCAATGAGGGGGTGACAAAAGGACATCAAGGTTTATTGTGGGGGTAGGTGAGAAAGCAGAGGTGAGGGCACAAGTGGATCTTATCAAATGGTGTAGCAGACTTGAGGGGCTGAATGGCCTAGTTTGCTCCTTGTTCTTATTTTGAAAGTGAATTGGCATGAAACCTGCCTGTGATAAAAGATCAGTAGCTAATTTCCTCTGTGCTAATCAGTGACTGCATTACACACTGATAATATTGATTGATTAATGAGATTTGCCTGAATCTTGTAGTGCCCTTCAGTCTTAACAATCTGTACAATTTACAACTGAAAGTGAACTGTTGTATCATTGATAGAAATACGCTTTTCGCCAAAAAAAACTCAAGTCTCCCACCAGGGGCCACAAATGATCTCCAGGGCGTGCTTAATCGATTGTTCTGTATGACAAACACAAAAGATTCTTCCAAAATACTCCACAAATTCACTTGCAAACATGGCACGGGGAGTGACCTTGTACTCTACCCTCACCTTAATGACAATACTGTCCAAATCAACAAAACTGTAATCAGATTAATAACTGCATCCAGGCTCATAAACCTTTATTAAAGTTCACTTTGGTAATTTGGCAAGACCTTTTTTCGGATGTTTTGAGGTTGTCTGTCTGGAAGTATAACTATGGAGTCTCCACATTGAAATTTTGCTTTTCGTTTGGGAGAGGGGATACGTTCCGTGGTAAGTCTCTGTATCTAATGTGTAAGGGGCACCCCGAAAAGGAACAGACTCCTTGGCGAGCAACCTGGACTTTGAATCCCGCCATCTGTGTTCACGTCCTGGGAGTATCTTGATTCTTGCTGCCTCAGCCAATGGAAATTTCTGAACACCTCTGGTGCACTAAGGATCATTGCTCCTTTGCTAACTCAGCCAGCTCCTCATCTCAACGTCCAGTCCTGAGCTCAGCCTGATTTGGATCCGCTCTGCCTCACTCTTCATCTCATTCAGTCCTGCGCCACCACTTATGAGCCCGCTCTCTGCTACCTTTTCTACATCACTCTTGCCGTTCACACATATAGCCGTCACTGCCAGCAACTTTGGAAATAGTTCCTTTGGGTTCCAAGTTGAAGTTCAGAAATATTTTTAGCAGCTTCTCACCTTGCATGCCTCAGAACCTTTGTAATAATGCCAATGTTTGTGGAGAGAGTGTACAGTGTGCAGTGAGAGTGGGGTTCCCCTTGAATTGGTATTCTTGCAGACTGTCCTGATGAGTGCGAGCCAAAAATGTGTCTTTTGTCAGCATAGAACATAGAACATTAACATAGAACATTACAGCGCAGTACAGGCCCTTCAACCCTCGATGTTGCGCCGACCTGTGAAACCAATCTGAAGCCCATCTAACCTAAACTATTCCATTATCATCCAAATGTTTATCCAATGACCATTTAAATGCCCTTAAAGTTGGCGAGTCTACTACTTTTGCAGGCAGGGCATTCCACGCCCTTACCACTCTCTGAGTAAAGAACCTACCTCTGACATCTGTCCTATATCAATCACCCCTCAATTTAAAGCTATGTCCCCTCTGCTAGCCATCACCATCCGAGGAAATACTGAAGTTCTATAAAATATTGGTTAGGCCACTTTTAGAATACAGCGTACAATTCTGGTTTCCCTGCTATAGGAAAGATGTTAAACCTGAAAGGGTTCAGAAAAGATTTACTAGGATATTGCTAGGGTTGTAGGGTTTGAGCTATAGGCGGAAGCTGAATGGGCTGGGGCTTTACTCCCCTGGAGAATCAGAGGCTGAGGGGTCAACTTATAGAGGTTTATAAAATCATGGATCCTCTGTTTTTCATTTACATAAATGATTTGGATGAAAATATAGAAGGCATCGTTAGTAAGTTTGCAGATGACACCAAAATTGGTGGTGTAGTAGACAATGAAGAAGATTTTCTAAGATTACAAAAGGATTATGATTAAATGGGTCAATGGGCTGAAAAATGGCAGAAGGAGTTCAATCTGGATAAATGTGATACATTGCATTTGATAGAACAAACAAGGGCAGGGCTATACAATTAATGGTTAGGGCCTTGGATAGTGTTGTAGAACAGATGGACCTAGCGGTTTGAAGTTTCTGTCACATATAGTCAGGATGGTTAAAAAGGCATTTAGCACGCTTGTCTTCATTGCACAGACCTTTGAGTCTAGGAGTTGGGACATCACGTAGAGGTTGTATAGGATATTGGTGAGGCCTCTTCTGGAACGCTGGATTGGAGTGTATTAGCTCTAAGGAGAGGTTGGGTAGACTTGAATTGTTTTCGTTAGAGTGCTTGAGGTTGAGGGGGTGGCCTGATAGAAGTATATACAACTATGAGAGACATGGATAGGGTGGATAGTTAGAGTACTTTTTCCAGGCTGCTAATGTCAAAAAACTGGGGTCATAGGTTTAACATGCTAAATGTCTTTTTAACCACCCTGTCTACCTGTGAGGCAAATTTCAAAG